TATTAGTTTTATAATCATAAATAATATTACAAATGAAAGCTATCATGTCAGGTTTGTACAAAGCTCTGTATAGAATAGAAGCTGCTCTGTATACATAGTTTTTATAGGAGTGGTCCCCATATTAAACTCACCCAGGTTCTCAAAAGCCCTCAAGGGTGAGAAAAATGCCGTGATGAACCCTGGACATGTAAACCAGTCTAGGTCTTCTCCCAGGCTAAGGACACATTCTCCATAGTTAGAGGCTTACAGAATAACCTCCGTTAAAGTATGCATCTGCCTAACCCATAAGACATGACCTAGCAAGTCACTTTCAGTCAAATCTGAAAGAGGGGCAGAGGGCCCCAGGTAACACGATGCGCCCAGAACATGTCTGCAGCTCTGACAGGTGCAAACAACTTCGCTCATCTAAATATAAACCGACTCAGGCAGTTTGGAAAGTCTTTCCCTCTTTCTATTCTCATCAGGCCCAAGAATGTCCTCTTTTTTAGTTCTGACCCTTGGTTATTTTTATTTAGATTTTCTCTGCAATACTTTTTATTCAATGAGAAGCAATGTTATAATTCTAAGAATGAAAAAAAAACAAACAAAAAAACAAAAAAAAAAACAAACGATTTTTCTTCCAAAATCTTGGCTGACAATAGGACCTCGGTTTGGGCTGTCTTTGAAACGTGTTAAGTTGAAAAGGAAGTAAGACATTAACAATATTTTTAAAAACGTTCTGGATGAGTACAATGCTGATGTTAACACATGCATACAGAAACGTCGTTTTAATCAGCAGAGTGGAAATTCTTTAGGGGAAGGTAGAGAGCTCTGGACCTTTGCCAATTCCTGCCATGCTCTCTCCATTACCCCTGAATGCTAACTCCCCCTTCAGGATGCTGCTCAATGGTCACTTCTTCAGTAGCCTTCTCTGACCTTCCCCACTCCCGCCCCCACCCGCACTGCTACGCATGCACAGCCTTCGTGCTAGCTCCCAAAACACAGAGATTTACCTTCCATGCTTTATCCTGCATCGTCATTTAATCTCAGAGCTTCTTAAGAGTAAGACATTTTCCATTTTTTCCATATCAAGCACCCAGATTTACAGTAGTTATTCAATAATGTGTTGTTGAATGAATGAACAAATGTGTAAGAAGGGACTAAAGGAGTCACCAATCAGCCCACAGTGAAGGAAGAAAAGACAGTGCTACCACTAATAGACCCGAAAAAGAACAATTTATGGGAAAATAATGATGATTAGACAGTGCTCGTCTTTTTTATTTATTTGAGGAGGGGATGCTTGCCTTATTAAATGAAATTAAAACTAAAATGCCAGATACCATAAAGGGAACTTAGTATGCATTGACTAAAGGGTTGAAATTATCCATTTTGACTTTCTTTAGAACTGCTATAAAATGAAAAGGTGAGGCAAGATCTCCATGTCTAACGGCCAACCCAGCTGGCAGGTTCTGGGCTCTGGGGCTGCAAAGGATTCTGCTGGAACAGTCCTCCAGACCTGTACCCCAAATCCATGCTGATCGCAAGTGAAACTGTGCTCTTTTCAAACGCATAGATGCCACACTCCTACCTACCAAGACTGTGGTGTGCCACAACTAAGTTTAGCCCCACTCTCCTGGTCTGAAATAGTCATCGAAACCGCAGGGGAAATTATTACCCATGGTTTCCTAGATCTATGTAAGGATGATGCTTCCAAACCCTAGTGCTGTAAAATTGTATTTACTTGTTCCAACTTCTTCCCAGTTTGGTGCAGATCACCCTTTGCCTGCATGTATTTTGCAATACCTGTTGGCTCTTTTCTTTGCCCACTCCGTTAACATGCTCACTACGCTGGAGAAACGCAGCCAACCCTTGGCTTAATAAATCTTCAACCCACTCACCAGCTAATAAAGGGGGTTTAGAATTGGGAAAGGGGGTATTGCACAGAAACTTTACTTGCCAACCGCCTACCAACAGCTGGTTTCGCAGGTGGTCCTTTATCAGATTTGCCCATTGAGAGAGAAGAGGACTAATGATCGCCCTTCAGACAGGGAGACTATGTCTGGGGAAGCTCTGTAAGCTGAAGGCCTGTATTGGATTACTGTAACCGACTAGGGTTTTAGTCTTAGATCCCTAGTAACATTAGGATGTGCTCTTCTATCCCTGAAAGCAGAATTTCCCAAATACCATGTTCAACATAATGAATTTTCATAAAGCTAAATATATCCAATGTAAAGGACTTTACTCTGAGATTATATCCTTCCTGCATTCTGTTGTTATTGCTGTTAAAAAGAACTTTTATTAAAAAAAATAAATAAAAGGATAGTAACAGAAGATGGTAAGTTGTTTTTGGTGTTGTTGTTTTTTTAAATTCAATGTCTTACTTGGCACTTTAAAAAGCTGGCATGCCTCTATCAGCTTCCAAAAGTCATTTACATTAGAAAACTAGGATCCTCAGCCCTAAAGTGACCAGCTCAAAGCTGATTGATCATAAAGGAGGTTATATAAATGACTATATAAATGTAAACTTGTTATTCTCATAGGAGAAGAGGGGCTTTTGGTCTTTTAGAATCTCATCATTCTCTATATCATAGAGGTAGATCATGGAAGTCCTGTAGGTCCAGGTCATTTTTTAAAAGAAAATCTTTATTGTTGAAAGTATTACTTATGTCCCCTTTTCACCCCATTGACCTCTTCTAGCCTGCCCCTGCCCCTTGCCCCCTGCCCAGGCCTTCACACCCTATTGTCCGTGTCCATGAGTTATGCATATAGGCATACAAGTTCTTTGGTTGAACTTTTCCCACCTACCCTCCCCCTCCTTCCCCCAGGTCATTTTTATAACAGATTCAAGTCAGGTAATTTCCGCTAAAATATACCTACCTGAGAAACCCTCAACTATATACATGCTACACTCTGTGAGATGGGTTTAGTCCAGGGGTGGGCAACCTTTTTCTGAGTGCGTGCCAAAACCAGCAAAATCCCTGACTCAAAATTCTTCTGCGTGCCAACCTTAATTTTTTTGAGAACATGTTACGCCTACTTGATATCTCTTAAGGTGTACGTATGTGAAGAACCTTGAAGAAATAATAAAATTCATTCGAGCGACAAAAACACAGTATATGATGATGAAAAATACATTTATTTTTAAATGTATACGTTATGTAAAATTATTTATTTATCTAAGATGCACCTACACTAAATTTATCTGAAAAATAAAAAAGTCGATATTAAGAAAAAACTTGTAAATGGAAGATTATAAGAGAGGATTTCGCGTGCCAGCAAAAGTTACTGGCGTGCCATGTTTGGCAAGTGTGCCAGGGGTTGCCCACCCCTGGTTTAGTCCTTTGCCCCAATAACATTAAAAGAATTGTACTGTATTCCTTTCACAGTAATACCTGGACCATGACAGACACAAAGCAAGCGTCCAAGAATTGTGTTTTTGTTTTGTGGGGGTTCTTGTGTGCTTTTTAAATATATTTTTATTGATTTCAGAGAAGAAGGGAGAGGGAGAGAGAGAAACATCAATGATGAGAGAGAATCATGGATCCGCCACCTCCTGCACTCCCCACACTGGGGATGGAATCCACAACCCGGGCGTGTGCCCCACCAGGAATCAAACCATGACCTCCTGGTTCATAGGTCGAAGCTCAACCACTGAACAACATCAGCTGGGCTCAAGAATTGTTAGACCCTATCTCAGGATCTGGGAATAACGAACCCAAAGAAATGCCACTTCAATAGCCGGGAAACACAAGTCTTTTCTCAGGGCTCCCCCGGTCTCCGCAGGTGGTAGCGGAAGTCACGGTCATCGGTGAACCCCGCAGCTAAAGTGCAGATGGAAGCGGAGCCCGCGGGAACGTATGGAAAGGTTTTGCCCCGCTAGGACGCGCCTGAAGGGGGAAACCGTAAACCTCTCCCGCCCAGGCCTCCTGCTGGAACGGAGCGCTCATCTGCAGGCAAGTGCCTCTGCCCCCTGGCGCCTGGCCCCCGGCTGCTGATGAAACAGCGACCCACCGCCTTCCCCGCAGCCCCAGCCCTCGCGGCGCGCAGGGGATCACGTGGCGCAGCGGTGCCCTCCCGGCGCGCGGCTCCCCGGCCATTGGCCGCCGCTCGCGTCCCGGCACGCCCATTGGCTGCGGGGGGCGTTCACGTGGAAGGGGGTCTGGGATGGCACCCCGAGAGGGGAGAGGTGGCCGGAAAGTTAAAGCGAGCGGCGCGGCGGCCGGGAGCCGGAGTCCCAGGGGCGGACCGTAGGGGGCGAGCGGGCTTCTCGCGCGCGGACGGATGCGGCTGCCGGTGGAGGGCACGGACGTGAGTCTCGGCCCGCGCTCCTGCTGCCGCTCCGGCTGCCCCAGCCACCCTGGCACCGATGCGGCCGCCGGCTGGAGCCTCTGCGCCTCGGGGCTTATGAGCTGCACCAGGTACGTCCTTCCACGTCCTGGCGTCCGAGCGCGGGGTGATGGCGGCGAGGGGCGCGCAGTGGAGACCCTCTGTCGTTCCTGCCATCTGCACGTTCTCCGTCCAACTTGCAGTTCCACTCCGGGGTGGAACACTCTAGACGGGCTCCGGGACGCTGCTGCTTCCACGTGGAGCGGGCAGTCCAGGGACCAGAGGTGGGCTGGAGCCCGAGGTGCGGTCCCGCGGGGCTGGGGCGGGCACTTAGGGTGCCCTCGCCCTCTATTGTCCCGGCAGAGTGTCTGCGGAGTTGGCCGATGGGGTCTGGAGCACAAAGAAAAGTCGATTCTTCTCTCCCAGGGTCTCGCTTCCCCATAAAACTCTAGGAAACACACTTTGTAGTCTCTCGGGCCGCCGAGAGAGAGGAGGCATAGAGCGCCGCGTCCACCCTGTCCCCTGGCCTCAGGTCCCCAGACTGGGGCTGTCCTGACCCGGCGGGGCCAGGCGGCCGCGTGGGGGCGCTCGCGCGGCGCGGCGCGGCTCGGGCCGGGGTGACCCCTCCTCCCCGCCCTGGAGTAATAGTTCGGGCTCCTCCTCCTTCTCCAGGAACTGAGCGTAGACCGGTGGCCGCCACTGCCACCTCCCACAGGGCTCTCCGATGCATCTCCGAGCGAGCTGGGGAGGGGGCTGCCCCGCGGCCTCAAAGGTAGGTGCCCCCGACAGGCAAAGGAAGATCTTAGAGGGGGTGGGTCCGAGAGGGATCCAGGTCGGAGTGACCTGTGGAATCCTCCAGCCTGGACGCTCCACTCTTTTGAACACAGAAAAAGGGGGTGTGGACGGGATTCTGCAAGAAGAGCAGCTAGAGGGCCTAGGAGGACATACTAGAAGATTTGGGGGCCCGTCATGGCATTGTTTCCTGAAGAAGAGGAGACAATTGAGGAAAGACTTGACTTGGGAACGTGGGGAGTTGCTAGAAGGTGTTGGAGCCTGTGGTTTGTGTGGCCAGGCGTCCGTGGGAGACCCAAGGGGCGAAGAGAGCAGGAGGGCTTGGAGTTGGGGCGCAGAGGGGAGAGGAAATAAAGGGCTCGTTTGGCAGGGCTGCCCAGGAGCCAGGAGTGAAGGAAGACAGCTGGAGGCCTTACCACAAACTTTAAGTTGAGGTATTTGGGGAAAGTTAGTGGGAAGAGAAGAACCATGGGGCATTATTAGTAACCGTGAATGTCAGAGCCAGAAGGGACCTCCGAGGAGAAAGCTGGAGGCGGGAGAGGTGGAATGACCTGCAGCAAGTGGCACAGCCAGGTGGACGCGTGCCTAGGCCAGGGCTCTGTGCTTCACGTTGGACATTTAGATGGCAGGGACTATGCCATTTTAACTCATCCCCTTCCTGTAATATGCTGCCTCACCCACAGATACTCATCTCGAAGATGCTTTGGACGATAGTGACAGGATAGAATACAAGTGGCTTTTATGGCTGTGAATAAGGGCCCCAAGATCAGAGTACAAAGAGAGCGATGTCAACTGTATTCATACTGTGTCAGCCGAACCTTTGGGGAGGGGGTCCAGGAATGCTGAAGGGGTCGATGACTGTGTCTTTTAAACATGATAACCTGTTGCGACTGCTTACCTCATGTTTTGGTGTTCCTGGGGCGAAGGGAAGGGGGGATTATTGGTGCATCTTGTTTTTCTGTCTTTACATATAAAAGTACAAGAGAATGGAAGGGGAAATGTCTTGGCCTCAATACCAAAAAAAAAATACATATTTTTTTCAATTACTTACTATAAAAGGCATAGCCAGAAAGTCAGTAGGTCAGCTGCCTGGAACTATGAAGGTCATGGGGTTATTTCCTGTACGAGCCTATAGTTTTCGCAAGAGGAATCACCATGATGTCTAGCCCCAGCCAGCTTGGGCTGGTGGTGTGTAATTTCCCCCTCGTGGAACAGGGAAAGCCTTGATGCAAAACTGTGCATGTTCTCTGGTTATTGTGGAGGTTTAGGGCTTGCCCCCTTTTGACCAGGAACACTGAAGTCTACCCTTGGGCATGGCCCAGTCAGGCATCTCTTAGAAGCTGAGTTTTTGAGCATCCATACTGGTCGGAGCAACAGCTGCTGATGCTCTCGGGAGCCTGTCCTGCAGTGAACTGGTCTCCAGGTCCTGTGCGCCCTGCTGGGTCAAATGTGTGTCTTCTCGGTCTGCTTTCCCCGTGGCCAGCCTTGGTCACTCTTATTCCCTGGTCTGGGGGAGGGAAAGGGCTAGAGCAGCAGGACAGTCTGTCAGGAGAAGGGGCCTGAGGTACAGCCCGGTGCATCCTGCGTGGGAATTGATCATTCTCATGCCACTTGAAGATAAAAATGCCTGTCCAGGTGCAGTCCTTTCAGGGGCTTAGGAAACTCTTACCTTGCATGTGTCTCTGTTGCTAGAACTACTTCTGGGTGACGGTCATTCCTGTCACAGTCCACTGGAGAATTCCTGAGCAGACGGTCAGGAAGGCCTACACTAAACCAGCACTTGGGTGATTGATTCTTGGAGAATGTTCCAGTTACTAAAAATTGGAATCTACGTGTGAGGACAGGCGAAGTGGCCGATAGTCGCATCGTATCTGAGATTGAGGCCTCACCTCCAGTTACGGTCAGACTGAGAGACTGAAGGGGTTCTGGTCAGGGGTTGCTTGTGCAATGCTTCTGGGGCAGTAACCCTTGGGTCAAAAGGTAGTTAACCTCACTTTTGCTTTTCGTGGAAAAAAGTTGCAAAACCGATTAGGCTCTAGAAGGTGCCAGGGGAACTGTTTAATGAGCTCTGGCTCTGGCTGGAACCTCGCCTCCCGATCCCCAGCTCTACTTGTTCTTGTAGCTTACTGGTAAAAGGGATCTCAGGCAGATTTAATTTACATGACTGGGTCCAAACAGTGTATGTAACTTTACCAAATCTTCATTCCCTAACTGTGCCCCTTATTTTAGAATTCAGTTTACACAATATCTTGAGAGTTTCCCCACCTTCTCTAATGAACTGATTGACTGTTTTAACGTCGTGCAGGAAAGCACGTACGAGGTCGGCTTGCAGGCTAGTTGGCTGGGCAGAGAGAACTTGCAGCTGACCTTGTGCTGACTCAGGCAAGGAGGAAGCGGCTGTGGCCAAGGAGGAACTCTCTTTCCCCCGGTTCATACCCAGGTTGTCAACGGTGGACAGAGTAGGAGGGGCTTTGCCCCTGTTCAGGTTTTTATTCTTTTTTTTTTTTAAAACCAACTACCTGTGTTGAAGTTAAAGCTGAAGGTGTAATTCTAGTACACTCTAGCAATGTTTTGCAATGAACCAGGGGGAAACTAAAATGCAAGTACTTTGCAAGTTTAGGTGTTTGTTTGTTTTCATTGAACCCATTGCTCAACACTCTTAAAAGCTATCTTGCCCAATTAAGTCACAATTCTCCTTTCCAGAACCACTGCATGGCCATAAGAACAGATGATAGAAAGCAAATGGCCCCTATAATCTTCACTCCTTTGACTTCCTTAGAGAGGAAACAGTAAGACAAACACCCTTTAAAAATGAATGTTTGGTGGGTGGGTGGGAGGTGATCAACCAAAGAACTTAAATGCATATATGCATAACCCATGGACACAGACAATAGGGTGGTGAAGACCTGGGGTAGGGGGCAGGGGCGGGCTAGAAGGGGTCAATGGTGGGAAAAAGGGGACATATGTAATACTTTCAATAATAAAGATTAAAAATAATAAAATAAAATAAATGTTTAGATAACTACACTGTGGCTATTAATTATTGTAATATTTTTCTCTGAACGTGTGTGTTTCTCCAGTTGGTCATCGCTAAGTGCCTGCTGCATCCTAGGGAAGTGCTGTCATTCTTTTGGAAAGTGGGACCGAACCCATTATGTCTCTGGCTTTCTCACTGTTTGTCACTATCTTTGGTTAATCTGGACCACACTTGAGTTAATACTGAAGTGTGTGGACAGAGATGAAGAAAAGCAATGTCAGTCTGATCTCATTGCTGTTCCTTTCTTTCCCCTTTTGCCAGCGTTCTAGCCTGTTCATCTAACCCCATGATGGCTGTGGACATAGAGTGCAGATACAGCTGCATGGCCCCTTCCCTGCGCAGAGAGAGGTTCGCCTTCAAGATCTCACCAAAGCCAAGCAAACCTCTGAGGCCTTGTATTCAGTTGAGCAGCAAGAATGAAGCCAGTGGAGTGGTGGCCCCAACCATCCAGGAGAAAAAGGTGAAAAAGCGAGTGTCCTTCGCAGACAACCAGGGGCTGGCCCTGACAATGGTCAAAGTGTTCTCAGAATTTGATGACCCGTTAGATATTCCGTTTAACATCACTGAGCTCCTAGACAACATCGTGAGTCTGACGACAGCAGAGAGCGAGAGCTTTGTGTTGGATTTTTCTCAACCTTCGGCAGATTACTTAGACTTTAGAAACCGGCTTCAGACCGACCACGTCTGCCTGGAGAACTGCGTGCTGAAGGACAAAGCGGTCGCAGGCACCGTGAAGGTGCAGAACCTGGCGTTTGAGAAGACGGTGAAGATCAGGATGACCTTCGACACCTGGAAAAGCTTCACAGACTTCCCCTGTTGGTATGTGAAAGACACTTACTCTAGTTCAGACAGGGACACCTTCTCCTTTGACATCCGCTTACCTGAGAAAATCCAGTCTTATGAAAGAATGGAGTTCGCCGTGTGTTTTGAGTGCAACGGCCAGACGTACTGGGACAGCAACAAAGGCAAAAACTATCGCATCACCCGGGCGGAATTAAAGTCCACCCAGGGCCCGGCCGAGTCACAAAATGGACCCGATCTGGGAATCTCCTTTGACCAGTTTGGAAGCCCTCGGTGCTCCTACGGTCTGTTCCCGGAGTGGCCTAGTTATCTAGGGTACGAAAAGCTAGGGCCCTACTATTAGTGACCATGTGTGACGGAGCCCAGCTGAGTGGGGGCAGACGAGCCCAGCTGCAGTCACAGAGGGACGGAGATGGAAAGCCAAGAGAATAGCTGAACTGCCATCAGGCACACTTGCCGAAAAGAAAGGATCCTATTCACTTTTTCCTTCAACCAGCAAGTCCAGCCCGGCTTAGACCACAGAACCAGTTTCACGCTCAGAGTGGCCGAGGTGTGCCGGTCTGCTTGGCACCCGTGGCAGCCACAGGGTACGGCAGGATGGTGCCAGCGAGGGTCTGGACAGGAGCCAGGCCTGCAGGCAGTGCTGGTGAGGCTAGAGGATGGTGGCTTCACAACAGTGCGACTCGGAGGGTGCCGGGGCTGTGTGGAGGAGCGGCTTAGGAAAGTCAGTCACTCGATGTCACTCCATCCCCGGCCACCTTCTGGCCCCTTGCCGTTCTCTGGCTTCTCTCCACCCAGCCGGGCCCTCCTACCTCTCGCTGCTGTCTCACATCTCCGCGTTCTTCACATTTTGTCTCCATGGTTTTTTTGGTGTTTTTCTTCGACAGTTCATCTGATGTTCAGGAAAAGATAATACAGGCAAATCGGCCTGGGAGGCAGGCATTTCCGCTTGCTGGGCCCCATGTGTATTCCAGCGGAGAGCAGCTCGCCAGTGACCCAGAGTAACTGGCCTCCGTGCAGCCTACGGATTGCTGGCTCAGGACAGGCAGGACAGCCGCGAGTGGAACACGTTTCGCTTCTCCTCTTGGCTTTTGGGGGAGCTTTCTAAGCACTCAGACTTACCCAAAGTCACCCGAAGGCCCACTTACAAGGGGTGTTTCAGCTTGCTCGGCTGGTTGGCAGGCGTCTTATTCTTTATACGCGGATTGTAGATCGCCCTTTCTGGAGACTCATCTTTTACACTGTGTTCAGGACATTTGGGTTGGCAGATCCAATATATCCTGGAAGCCTTCCGAAAGTGTTTGCTTTTATTTTGACTGTGATTTACAGGACCCGGGACATTTTACAAGCACCCTGGGACTTTGATTTGGGTGTCCTTATTTATGCTGTGTGAGTATGTGAAAGGGGCAGAGGAGGAAAACCTCACTAAGTTCTCCGATGTTTGCCAGCTCTGAAATAGCGGACATTAATTGTTCTCCACCATATTGGACAAAAGAATTACAAATCTGGTGGGTCATGTGGTTGTGAGACCCCTGGGACTTTCACTGTCAGATGGATCCCCAGATCCTGTGATTATTTTGGGGCAAGACTGGTTTGTACTTGGGGGTGTTTAAGATATTTTTACATGTGTATTTGTAGAAGGTTTGGGGTTTTTCTGTTTTTGTTTGGGGAGATTAAATGACCGTCTCATTTTCCTTTTGCCTGATTTACTAAAGTGAGGTTTTCCTAAGGGAAGCAGGAAGTGGGATGCACAGCTACTGGACTCTGCAGGCAGAGAGTCTCCGTCCGTTTGCATTTTCCAAGTCAATCAGGAAACACCTCCCAGCTTCTTTGTCGATCCTGTCGGGTGTCGGGCAGGCACGGAGCGTCTTGGCTCCTGGAGTTTGGTGGGTTATTTTTGTTTTCTTTGAACTTTAAAATGTTTTAACTTTTCAAATGCTCTTTAAGTTGTGTTTGATGTAATTCTTTTTCCTAAAACTGGCTGTGACTAGTCTGTAACCTTGTGCTTTACTGTTTATACCTCTCCCAGGTGGGCAGCACTGAGGGATGCCATGATAATGTAATTTCTGGGAAAATCACATTTACTTACGCTGAAATGGGGCAGAACTGTGTTTTATCCAAGCATATCTTACATCAAGTACACAGAGAGCACTTTGTGCTACAAATCTGGTGGCCAGAGCTCTTAAGAGTGTAAATCTAAATTGAATAGAAGCAACATTTTGATTTTGTTTTAAGAAATCTCCCCCCTCCTCCTCCTCCATTTCAGGAAAGGTACAAGGTGCACTGTTGTCTACGTGTTCCCCGACTACAGGTGATGAGATCATTCTGTGTTCATGAGAAAAACGCCTCAAGTGACTTGTGTATGGCTGTCAATAATAGTGATCCTAAGGCATTCCTGTGTCAAAATTTGAAATAGGGTAATTCAGTGATAAGTATCTCTTCTAAAACAGCCATAAACCCTCCCCCTCCCCTGCTTTGCTCCCAGTTCTCCCCAGATATTTTTGCTGGCGGCTCTGCCTGCACGCCCCCAGCCAGTGCACCTGGGCCACTCACCCCACGGGGCAAGTCCTCACCCGCTTGCAAAGACCCTGCTCTCACTAAGGAATCTGGTTGCCCGACTTCCCTGTCAGCATTGCCATTCAGGGAGGTTGTAGGATCTGAAGAATACTGTCTCCTCCTCACCAAGCAGTCCTCCTCCTGTCCGGCTCTGTCCCAGAATATGAGGAGCGTCTCCTTGGCTCACCCTCAGCCCACAGGTCTGCACACCTGAGAGAGGGGCCTGTTTCTCAGTTGTAAACTCCCCTGCAGCCTGACCTGTAGGTTTGGCCCTCAGACAGCTCTTGGTTGTGATGACAAATGGCCTCCAGTCCAGGGTGCTTCCCGAGTCGCCCCAGCAAGCCCAGCCTCCTGCTGGTGGTGTGGTGCTCCAGGAATGGGCAAGCAGCTCCGTTTTGCTTTCATATTTATTCCCCCTGTGCCCTGGGGAGCACTTGCAAACTAGGTGCAATAAATAAGCTGGACTATATAAAGATATAATAAACAAGCTTTCAATGTTTCTTGGAAGAGATGAAGCATTTGAGTGGGTTTCTTTCTCTCTTGTTTAATATTCTTGTTATAGGGGAGCTGGTGAGAAATAGAGTTATGTAGTTCTGTAGAAATTAAATTTCAGAATCAAGGTAGAATTTATTTTTTTTCTCTAAGATGTCATTTTGATGGTGGCAAAACATGACTCTTTCAATGTTTTTTAAAGATGTAAAGTTTGAACTGCTAAACGAATTTGTGGTTTTGATCTTTGCATATAATTTGCTTTATGAAAACAAGCGTCACTTTGTAGGCACTTGGGATATATATATGTATGTATGTATACCCAAAAAGTGGTTGTTTGCTCACTTTTTAGAAATGCCTGTTTCTGGCTCTTAGTGGACAGTGAATGGAAACCTTGGTTGTTTTTTCATTTGTTTCCTCTTTTAAAGTTCCCCGACTGGATGTGGTTTGCCGGAACAGGCCTCGTGGCCCTTTGCTCTGGGAGGTCCCGATCTACTTATCTCTTCAGATGTGATCACTGAATCAGAGAGAGTGAAACTGACAGTGGGATCTTACAGGGTCCTCCAAAGACTGCTTGGCAGCTACTTCACTGCCTGAAGTGGGACCCATCTGGGCGGGGAAGGGTAGCTGTGGTTCTGGGCGGCTTTTCCCCACTGCGGTTGGAAAGCATTGCAGCCCGGGTTGTAAAGCTGTGAATGTTTTTACAGTTTTGTTCTCAGTTCCTAGAGATTGCTGGGGCGGGAGGGGGAAGAGGACTCCAAGAATGCAGCTGTGAGGATGGCGTTTCACTTTGATGTCAATGTGAATGTCCAGCTGAAGTGACTCAGCTTCATTGGATGCCGAAAAGTGCCTTGTCATGAAATTTCCACGTTTTTAAAAAAATATTTTTGTACACAATGTTCAAGGGGAAATGCACTTTAAAATCACAAGAATGGATGTATTTTGTGTGGTATAAGAGAGTGGTTTGTATCAAATGCAAAAACGTAATAAAGGTAGAAAAAAACACAACGGAAACTGTCCTATTTTCAAACTGCCTCTCTTCTGGGAGTCAGGCTGGGGAGAAAGAATTTCAAACCATGTGTTTCCACACACAGAGCACAGGTTTGCAAAGGGATGGATCACCAGCAGGGGCTGAGCCAGCGAAGCTGCAAGGCACGAGGAAGGGGTGGGGAACCGCTTTGTAAGCTGTCCCAGCAGTTGACTATAGCTCCGAGAATAAGTGCTGGCGAGAAGCATGGGCCAGCATCATTCTGAACCGTTTTTTTTCAATGTACATTTTATTTTTGAATTAAACTTACTGGGGTGGCATGGGTTAATAAGATTATATAGGTTTCAAGTGTACCTTTCTACGATACATCATCTGTTGCATTGTGTGTCCACCACCAAAAGTCAAGTCACTCCGTCACCGTCTACTGACCCCCTTTATCTTTTGCTGCCACCACTCGCCTTCCCCTTGGAACCATCATACTGTTGTCTGTGTCTATGAGTTTTGTTTGTTCATTTGTTGCTTTTAGTTTTACATCCCACATTTGAGTGAAATACGCTGCTTAACTTTTCCTGTCTGGCCTATTTTGCTTAGCATGTTGTTCTTAATTCATTTTTAAATATATTTTTATTGATTTCAGAGAGGGCAAGAGAGAGAGAGAAACACCAGTGATGATGGAAAATCATTGATTGGCTGCCTCCTGCATGTCCCACACTGGGGATCAAGCCTGCAACCGGGCATGTGCCCTGACCGAGAATCGAACCGTGACCTCCTGGTTCATAAGCCAACTGAACCATGCTGGCCAGGCCTGAATTTATTTTTAATGATCCAAGGACCAGTCACTTCTAACCCTCTCACTGGCTCTTGGTTTAGTACATTCAAAGGTGGAAAAACTGTAAGTGGCTCTCAGAGCTTTTAACTGCTTGATCCCATTAAAACCAGCAAAGCCAGCTCCTGATGGCACCCCCTCTCCATTGGTCATCGACATTCACCCTAAATAAGATTTCTGGATATGTCTCATTTCAGAGTTCAGAAGTGGGGATGGAGGCAGAGGCAAACGGCAGCCAGGCGATTCCTGCCTGTCAGTGTCCGCCACCCGGGGAAGGCAGCAGTGGGTCTGCAGGGAAGAAGGGGGATAGGAAAGCTTCGCCCTAGGGAATAGGGACCAACAGTGAGCTCATACATAACCACCTTCCCCAAGAATACAAACACTCCACAATTTCCCACTGGCGAAGTGGGAAGGGGACAAAAAGAACACTCTTTTATGAATGTCTATTTGAGATTCAGAATGATTTTAATAATCATATAATTCTGCTTATGAGACAGACATCTCAGACCAACTGGAATAAAAAAAGAAAAAACACTTTCCTCGAGCAATGTTCCCAGAATAGCAAACATCCAGCTCTCTGAATAATTCAGTTGAACATTACTGCTGACCTGCCATGTGCAAGGCAGTGCTGGGTGCCTTCTCGACCCACCCCCTGGAAGAGGTGCTCATGTTTTAGGTGAATCCATGGAGAGCAGTGTGCTCTGCTGTCCGGTGATGTCAGGAGTTGGGAAGCTTGGGTCTGGTCTTGACCCCGTCACCCCCTGTCAACTGCTGGGCCACAGGGGCTCTCAGAGTTTCTAGCAGGGCTCTCGCCGCGTCCTGCGTCCTTTTGAGAGTTGGCCAAAGTGTCCCTTTTGCAAATGCTTCTAGATATAAACTTGTAAGAAGTACCAGGCGCACGCTCTGCATTCTTTCTAAGGCATGAGCGGCATCCCAGACCACAGCGTGGCTTCATGAAGTGTCAGCGTTCCAGCTGGAAGGGCAGCCAGGCCCCGAGTGCGTTTCCTACAGCCACGTGGTCAGTGACGAAGCCGGAGAGGACCGGACGGGTCTGTTGGGTTTTTTCCAAGAATTGTCCCCACAAACTGGGGTCACTCTCCCAGAGCTGAGACTGAAATGGTGATTCTGAAAGGAAGTCCCTCACGTCGGAGATGCAATCCCTGGGGGTGATCGAACACACGCCCATCTGTATGTACAACAGGCACTTCCCTCCCAGGGGCTTCCTCAGCACATACAAGGACCGCCAGCCCGTGGAAGGGAACGCTGGAGACAGTTCTAACCATGTAAATCTCTGAGACAGTTGACAACTAATGAAAACAAACATATTTTAAAAACATGGTGTAGGACACACACACACATACGCACACACACCTGCACATACACCTGAGCGCATGTACGGGAGCATAAAAGTGAACATTAAATAATTGGGCATCCAAGGGCCCGATCGGACGGCAGGATGTAATTGATGGTAGGGAAGCACCAACGGGGCCGTGGCTGCAGAGGCATCTAAGAGGCAGGATGCAGGATTGGAGGCCTTGGCAGGTCCTTGCCCCAAAACAGAACCCCGATGGAGCACAGGAAGGCGTTAGCCCTCATTCCTCTCCTTCTGCCATTGCTGATCCTTGGAGAGGGAATCTCAACCGATGCCTTTGTGTCCACAGGGGTTCTCTGGTAGGTGACATGTCCCCACAAATGCGATGCACCTCCCAGCATCGGGCCTTCTGCTGGATGAATTAGGCGAAGGTAGGATGAGGATACACAACACGCTTTGGGGGCCAAAGACATTCATAATGACCCAGGATCCTGGCCCTTTACCCCAAAATGCAAGATCAGGGGTCGGCAACCTCTACCTGTAAAGGGCCAGACAATAAATATTTTATTGGTGTTTTGGGCCACATAGGGTCTCTGTCACATATTCCTGTTAAAAAAAAAATTTTTTTTAATGCAAACACCATTCTTAGCTGTGGGCCATACAAAACAGGCCAGGGCTGGACTTGACTGCTGCCTGGAGTTTGCTGACTCTGGCTGAAGAGTCCAATAGGAAGAGTGAGCCTTCAGAGCCAACTTGTGGACCCTCAGCTAAGCCTGGAGTCACCTTTTCAATTTGTTTGTTTGTTTAAAGACCATATAATTGATGGTCCAAAGTGGGATGCTTTGAGAATGAATGGGTGCTATGCATTGCAGGAGCAGTCCGGGCAAACCCTACTGTGTGAGCCCTGGCAGCGCCCTCACCTCCTCTGGGCCGTGGGCTCTTCTTAGACCTTTGGGAGCTCAGAAAGCCATGGCTAGAGCAGTTCTGGCTGGATAGTGCCTTTTTTATTTTCTTTGACGGGTCATCATGGAGTAGTAATTTTGTCTGTGGTTTAGATGTGTTTCTGTTCGTTAGCTTTTCTGTTTCCCAACTGTAGTGCTGATGACCTAAAGCCCTCTGGAAACTCCAGCCAATTCACTCTTAAGGGTAGAAAGTTTAGAAGGAAATGGGTTATTAATGGTTTGGGTTTCTATCCTACTACTTCTCTCCCCCACCCCCACCCCCCGATACTTCTGTCCTCAACAAAAAGGGCATGGCAGCGCTCCGCAAGAAAGTTGTTCATTGTAGGCACACACACAGGCTGAATCTAGCGTGATTCCAAGCACCAGTCCCCAGACTGAAGTGCTGCCAGGAATCCTGCCAACTAGAGGGTCTCAGCACATCTTTCCCTGACCCAGCAAGTTCAAGATGCCTGAAGCACCACAGGAGGCCAAGGAGGTGGAAATTCATCTCCAGAGTGCTCTGGGCCTTGACCTGGAAGAACCCCTCTCCCCTCCTGAAGGCCATCTTTGTGAAGTGGACATGTTGTGGGTGGCAAACAGGCTCTTCCCCGCATTTCCAGGATCCACGCACAGAGACTGACATGGCAAGGTGGTTTATTTGTGAGATAATAGCAAGAGTTATTATCCTCCTGGCTTCTCAATCTCCCATCTCCCTCTGTCCCGCCATGGAATAAGTCCAAGGCCAAGGCCAAGGCCACGCCCCGAGTTTCTGCTTCACAGTTCTTGGGAGTGTGTGCAGTCTGTCACGGGCCCCAAGAGGCCACTAGACTGGCATGGGTGGGAGAGAACATGAGTGAACCCGAGAGGGCAGGTCCAGAGCAAGAGAAAGAGCTTCTTTTGTTCCATGCAATTGTGTACTCTCAGGCTTGGGAGGAACCAGAAGCTTATCCAAAATAGCTAGTCAGCTTCCCATACCTTCCTGGCTTACATTGGGGTCCACCCCCTCGCCAGTGATCTTTTCCCCAGGTTAGACTGTCAGGCCTCTGGGGTCAAGCACCTCCCCCTGCAACACTTTGACTTTACTGCTCACGTCCTTATCTCCCCTGCCCCTCCCCCTCCACAATCTGGTACCTGACAGGGGAAGGGAGGGTGTTGATCCCCTTGAAGGGTCAGTGCAGAGATGCCCTGGGCTGTGAGGCCATAGCCTCCTAGTGAGGCCAACAGCTGACTCTGCTCAACAACGTGGGACTCTCCTTTGCTCTTTTCTTTCAATAACTCAGTAAGGACGGGTAATGGGCACAGGCCCTTCCTTTAGGTTTTGTCATCTCCTCCTCTGGCATGGACACTGCTCAGTGCTGGAGGAGGGTCTGTCGTGTCAGTGCTGTGGGCACTGGGAAAGGTTTCCATGAAGCCCCCGTATATCCAAGGGGAACTCTCCATCACCACAGGGTGGGGGTGAGGGAGCTTTCCAGGGTCACCCCTCTTTCACACATCACTTCCTGCATGGCTAGGGCTGGTGGGAAGGAGAAATTAGTCACTACTTCTCCTGGGCTCACTCCCAGGGCCACCCAGTTAATTCCCCTCTGGTGCATCTCTTGGTCCCATTTGAATGTGGACTAGCCCAGTGACATCTCACTGAACTTATCATATTTTAATAAAAACTAATTGTATCATTGATTATTCACCATTAATCAATTATCTGTTGAAACAACACTGAAATAGCCCCCAAATATTTTCATAGATTCTTTTCCCACACTGCATTGCACATTTACTCATGCAATAAGCACTTGCTTATTTGACTCCTTTA